CCCCTTGTGGCCCCGGAGTCAAAAAGTTCGCCCACCCCTGATTTAAACAGTTCCGGTGAGTTCTCTTAGCAACAGGGCTTTCCTGGCGCTCTTTAGGGAACAATGCCAGGGAACATGTGTTTTTCTGGGGGCTCCACTCTTTGGCCGGTTCAACTATTCAGAGGTATTTCCTTATCCTGTTTAAGCTTTGCTCCTCCAGCACCCTAGGCGCTCGCCTTCCTATCTTGACCTTTCTTCTTCCTGCTTAAAACCAGAATCTGTCCCCCATCCTCCAGGGCTGTGCCCTGTCCCCCTCTACTGCCCCTCCTCACGACAGCGGAGCCGGGAAAGGCACCCCAGGGCAGCTCTCCAGGCTGTCATCAAGTTTTGCCCATTAGTGGTGATCATGAGGAGCGGCTGAGACTGGCCAGGGCACGGTGCTGATCCAAGATGTAAACATAATCGAGTAATGCGGATTGATTCCATCAGCCTTCCCCAGTGAGTGCACAACGCAGAAAGACGTTCCCACCTGAGTCTGCTTTGGCATCGATGGGCATCTTATTTGAACAATTTAAAAGGCGACTTTCCTGCAACAGTGGACATAAACATGGGATGGAAACACGCAGGGAGCAGAAAAAGCTCCCCTGGAAGTTCAAGTGGCACTAAGGTTATTGTAACTGGTTTCACCTCAACCTTGTCTGCTTCGTCAATCTAGGTAAGGCAAGATCGCCCTCTGCTGCCGGGAATTAGAATGGCCTTTAATCTTTCAATGAGCTAGCACATAGGCGCGCGCGCACACACACCCTTCACATAGAGTTGTCCATGCTTCCCTCTTACACATGACCTCTGGCAGTCGGGCTTGCTAACAATACAGAGACCAAAACATAGATAAGGGGACTTAAAGAAAGTAGAGATATTACGGTGTGCTAAACAAGACTCCAATGTCATTTAGAGACGTACCTGAGATAAAAGAAATTGAACCCAAGGAACAAGAACAGAATGCTTTAATATAGGGGGTAATATAAGAAAAAGAAAACTTGAAGGCTAAGGGGGAAAAGCTGAAATAAACACACACATGAATGAGAAGGAAAAGTTTGAAAAATCTCTTCTAAGTGGAATACCTGAATAATAGAAGGCCCTTTAAGAACAGAATGTAGGGGAGCAAACCAGCAAAGGCAACACAGAAAACATTTCTCAGAACCGAAGGGCCTGAAGGTCCGGAATGAAAAGGCTGCTCACCGTGATGGAGGCTAAAGACCTACGGTCATCAGGAAATTTCAGAATAAGGTTGAAGAAAAGAGAGCTAAACCTTTTGGAGGAAGAAAAAGTGACAGGTGAGACACCAAGGACTGGGGATAAGAATGGGTTCCTGGCCTAGCCAGTTTGGGTCAGTGGACAGAGCATCGGCCTGCACACTGAAGGGCCCCAGGTTCGCTTCCGGTCAAGGGCACATGCCTCCTTTGCAGGCTCGATCCTGGCCCTGGTCGGGCACATGCAGGAGACAACCAATCAGTGTTTCTCCCTGTCTCTCCCCCTCCTTTCCACTCTGTCGGAAATCAATGGGAAAATATCCTCAGGTGAGAATGAACACAACAAAACAAAATGAACAGATTCCTTAGGAACACTAAAAGGCAGAGGAAAATGGGAGCAATGTCTCCCGAATTCTAAGAAAAGAAAAAAACACGTTTCAACCAACAATTCGATACCTTGCAACGGTGTTTGAAAGGCAACTGGAAATAGTTCACCAACATGAAATAGGGAACCAAGAAAAGGGAAGATGTGGGATCCAGGAAAGAGAACCAAACACGGGAGGGAGGAGAAGGCTAACGGTGAGCGCTGCTTCGGGCCCAGGAGGCAGACGGTTCCGCTAGGGATTTGTCTTAGAAGGCAACTGCAACAGAGAATTGTCTGCCAGGTTTGACCTATGGATGGAAATTATGTGAGGGATGAGGGTGCTCACAAACCTTGAAACCATCGCACTGAACACCTTAAACTTACACAGACTGCCTGTCAATAGGATCTAAATAAAACCGGGGAGGGGGAGATTTGACTTTTGGAAGGACTGTGATGCAAGGTATAAGAGTATTCAAGGCAGATAGTCAAAGAAAATATTTTATTTTTTATTGTGATGAAAAACATATAACATACAATTTTCCTTTTTCCCCCCAATTATAGTGCACATTCGATATTATTCTGTATTAGTTTCAGGTGTACAACATAGTGGTTAGACAATCAGACACTGCAAGAGTGGTCCCCGTGATATTTCAGGTACCCCTCTCCGCGCTGGCTGGTACATAGCTATTACAGTATTTTTTAAAAGGGATCATCTCTAAGTCCAGTAAAAAAGTACTAGGAGAAATCATAGGATTGTACTTACTAGTAACTTAGAGCCTATTCACGGACACAGAACAAGGACACTGGTATGGCTCCAACAGGAAGCTAAGATACATCGGAAGCCTGGAGGGGAAATGAGGGTGTGACTGAAACCCTCCTCTGCTGGCACAGTAGATGCAGCGGCTCTAACAGTGAGAGTCAAGAACTGGAGCAGAGCCACACACCAGCATGGCTCCAGGCACACGCCAGCAAGGCTCCAGGCACCCGCCAGCAAGGCTCCAGGCACACGCCAGCAAGGCTCCAGGCACACGCCAGCATGGCGGGAGGCGGCTGCCTGGGGATGGTACCCACAGGGTCACACGGACAAGAGGCTGCTTTTCTTGCGAGCCTTTTATTGCTCTTTGATTTTTTTAAGGCGGGAGAGAGAAGGCAAGTCAGAGTGGGAAAGAGCTTTCTCCCCAGTGTGCTCCTCAGCACCTACTCGGAGCTTGCTGGGTGCAGAATCCTGAGACCCGGCCCGACCTACAGAACGAGGCTCTGCATTTCCCACCTCTACGCCCGTGAACTTGAAAAGCGCTGGCCCAGCAGTCCCCGTGCCCCGGCCGGTGCCCATCGCTGTAGTAAAGGTGAAGCAAGGGGCCACTGGGCACATGGTGACCGGGGCTTCAAATGTGACCTCAGGTCACTGTTCTGGGTCCTCCACCCTTGTCGCTCGCCTATACTGCTAACCCACTGCTCCATCCTCCTGACCCATTTTATACATTTTGGTACTGACTTTGTTTGGGGCACCTATTTCTTCACAAAATCCATCTTTACAGAATTTATCACACGGAGGTTGCAACTTTTTGTCATTGTTCTCAAATAGTCCCAGTGTATTTGATTACCAAGATGACTCTCAGTAGACTAGATGCTCAGAGGCTTAGCAGTTGGGAGTCTTTCCATTGTTATATCATAAACCTGAACAGAACAGGTGAGTGAGTCAGTAACTAGGACAGCCGCTGCCTTCCAGGAAAGGGACAGAAAAGCAAACACAACAGGCCACAGAGAAGAGAGCTTTGACGGGACAAGCCGCCTGCAGATTGTAAGAGCCCTTCTGGGTGGTTCCCTGAGGTTTCCCGGGAAGGACTAGGCTAAGGGCCTGCTACAGAGAGGATTCTCCCGCTCGCGGCTCTGCCAACCTAGGCTTTAATAACTTTTGCATCTTTAAAGTTCTGAAGGATTTATGAAGCTTCTGCAATGATCTCAAGTACACTGTTAATACATTGTATAGCCAGTCATTGCTTTTAGTATAAAATAGGTAAGAAAAATCCATGTTACACATTTGTTATACCAAAAGTTAAAACCATAGTTGGTGTTTGGACTACAAATTAAATGTGTAATATGAAATTTTTAAAACTGAAGAAAAATCGAAACTAAGATACTGTGAATTTTAGATTAAAGAAATAAAAACAAAATATAGTTTTAAAATGATTCCCACTAGATGCTCTTGATGTTAGTAGTGTGACTTGGTTGAAATACTGCTTCCCTCAAGACATATATAAAAAGTAATTACAAACCTATCAAAGACTACGTCTTAGAAGCAAGGCTTTATTACAGAATTTCCAAAAACCCCTGATTAAAATCCTATCTCCTGTGTTAGAGTGAAGGGTAATCTATGCAAATTGGCTCTGCTTTTCAGTGACCCTTGCAAACACCCTATTGGGATATTAGAAACTGCCAAGATCTTGCCTTTTCAAAGTGATTACATTAGAGATTCATATCTATCTACATAAGGAATTCCTTATTTTGTGGTGTTCTCTCACTCATCATTCACTGAGAGCAAAATTCAAAAATTATCCTGAGAGAGAGAATTGGGAATTTGTATTAACAAGGGACTGAATAGCCCAAAACAGTGTGCCATAAACATATATTCCTTTACCGAATGTATCTTAAAAATCTGTGCAAATAATCTCCATTAGACCCATGGTTGGCTTCAATTGTTTAAAAGGTTTATGTCCAAAAAGAAGCTGAGTAAGAGCAGTGCTCCTAAAAGATGCCATTCTGCCACCGGGAAGCAGGCTCTCGCTCCCGGCCCAACTAAAGACCACACACACTGCAGACCCGCTCCCCTCCACCCACCTACCACGTTTGCTACAGAACATTAAAGATTAATCTTGAATCATGCAATCTGTTCCGGGGAGGAGGTATGTGACGGTCAGAAGTCTTGAAATTTACACGAGTTAAAGTTTTTATTTTTATGCCATAATCCAATTATAATCTTTCTTTTACCCGAATCAAATTTGAAAACTTATTTTTCCATTGCATTAAATTTTAAAAAAAATGTTCTCCCTCATCACACTAAAGCATTCCTTGTTATCTATTTCCAGTGCTCAGGTAATTAATGAATAAAATCATTTAAATGAGTCTCTTTTAATTATCTCCAGCAGATACACATTATCTAAAACCTGTCGAGGTCAAAACAGGTTCCTCCCCTGCAGTCACCTACGCAGACTCTGCCACACAATCCAAGTTCAGGACAAATCAAGGCTTTCCAGAGCACAGTGAATGAGCACCACGGACACGCCGCTCCTCTCCCGCTGGGCCCGTCGGGCCGTCCTTAGAACTCCTCCTCGGCCTGCTTGCTGCGGGCCTGCTGCAGCTGCTGCAGCCGCGCCACGGTTTCAGCAACAGTGCGTTCCCCGTGAACCTTGTTATCTCTCGTGCGGATGTTCACAGTGCCGCTGGCTTTCTCTTTTTCACCGACAACTAAACAAAAGACAGTAAGGATCCTTAGGTGGCAGCGTTCTCATCGGGCATTCGAACAGAAAGGACCCCAAGACCAAAAGCCACCCTGTAGCTTCTTCTGATTAAAATGTACAGGCGAGCCCGGCCAGTGTGGCTCAGTGGTTGAGCATCAACCTATGAACCAGGAGGTCACGGTTTGATTCCCGGTCAGGGCACTTACCCGGGTTGCAGGCTTGGTCCCCAGTAGGGGCATGCAGGAGGCAGCCAATTAACGATTCTCTCTGGTCAATGTTTCTATCTCTTTCTCCCTCTCCCTTCCTCTCTCTCTAAAAAAATCAATAAATCCATATATTTTTTTAAATGTGCAGGTGACCATGCACAGTTAGGCAACTGATTTAAAATTTATTCATTAAAAAAACAAACCCACTCTGCAATGCCAACACTGCTGTGCTTATTGAGTCACTTAGTCCAGCTGACTTAATAAAAACTGACCGTGTGAAGAAATAAAAGGTGAAGGGGAGGAAATTTTTACAGTGCTGTACAAATTATTCGTTTTCACACCATAGTTTTCCTTTCTTATGTCAACTGAACAAACTTAATAGTTTAAGAATCAGGATTAAAAGGAAATAAACTGATGACTATAATCCTCTCAAGCTAAGTCTCAAGATTTCAGAATTTTCCCAGGTTGTGCAGCTTGTCCTTGGCTCAGTTCCTTTCTTACCCAGGATGAAGTTATATTGTGCTAACTGTGCATTTCTGATCTTCTTATTTAATGTACAGCCCGGATCCAGGTCGATGTCCACCATGAATTTAGCATCATGGAATTGTTGCCGTACCTATTTAAACAGAGACACGGAATTCTTCAGATCCAAAATTAGAATTATATTTTGATCTTAAATGACTTTATGTAACCTGTAATTTGGAAAATCATGTAAGCATTAAAAATTAGTTCTTCAATAATTTTGTGTATATAATGATCTAATTAAATAGAAGTCTATAAGAATCTATATATATAAAAGCCTAAGTGACTGAATGACCAGTCGACCAGTTGCTATGATGTGCACTGACCACCAGGGGGCAGACGCTCAATGCAGGAGCTGCCCCTGGTAGTCAGTGCGCTCCCACAGCCAACCTCCCGTGGCCAGCCAACCTCCTGTGGCCAGCCAACCTCCCGAGGTCCCTCCCCCGGGCCAGCCAGCCCCGATTGGCCCGATCGGGAATGGGTGAGACAGCCCCGATCCGCCCCGATCACAGGCCAGGCTGAGGGACCCCACCTGTGCACGAATTCGTGCACTGGGACTCTAGTAACTTAATAAAAAGAAAGTATCAGGCTCGAGAAATATTAAAAAGTGATTTTTTTCCCCTTCAACCGTGATTTCCTTTTTGATTAAAAGAAAGCTTAGCCCTGGGCAGTGTCCCATACACCAATTGATGTTTTTCTCTAACATCAATGTTTCTCTCCCTCTCCCTTCCTCTCTAAAATCAGTCAATATAATGGGAAAAAAACACAAAATAAAAACCTACCCCTACCTAATTCCAATGCCACTCTACCCTCAGAGTGGGGCAGGTCAGTACTGCTTCCAGCTGAGAAATGAGTAGGAACATTTTCCTGCTGAGTGAGCTTTCATAATGCACATAAGATAAAAACAATGAATCAGCCATAGAACACAGGTGGCTTTCATCATTTATAACTACACTACTGTGGTGCAGTCACAGGAATACAGTTTGTCTGAATGGTTTGCTTATTAGCTGGTTTAATGTTCATTTATTTCTTAAAGACAGCTGAGACCTGAGTGCAATTTATTTTGATAGTCTAGAAACACGATTTCGATGTTATAAGACCATTCAATGATATTTAGATTTTTGTCTCTTTTAACTATTTTATTACTTTTAATTTGCAATTCTGAAACAATGCTTTTTAATAACACATTCTTGATTATTTAACATTCCTTGATAAAGAATCGTTGCTGTAACAAAACAGACTGTCATAGTCTTTAAGGTGTGAAGAATGAACGGATATTTCTCTATCTGTTAGTGAGGTAGCTGTTTGGCCAGTAGGGTAAAACACTGGTCTGGCATGCCATTAACATGGAAAAAGGTTTCAAATAAATGAAGAAATTTGCATTGAACATGAAGCAAAACTACACTTTGGGTCAAAAAGTAACTTCAACTGCATTATGCATTTGAATTTGCACATCATACTGAGGCATTCCCTACTTGCTAACACTAACCACTAAACAAGAGTGCATAAAACAACTACCCAACCTGTCTTCTGATCACTGAGCCACCTAGGAAAGCATTAAAGAGGCCATGTGCTCTGTTTAAGTTTACCACAGATTGAAGATAGTAACAGCTCTCTACATCACAGGCAGCTTGATTTACCAAGGATATAGCTTATGGGATTTGAAAGCCGAACAACAGATGCTAAATTTAAATTAAAGTCATACTTAAGGATTACCTTTTGGGCATAATCATCACACGTTGGTCCCACTGGAACTACCATTACCTGGCGAGGAGACAGCCAGAAGGGCCTTAGGAAGAAATTAAAAATATTTAATGTGGGTTTTCCTAAACAAGGACTGCCCATTCATTTATCAGTCTACCCTTTGTATCTTTTCCTTTCAAATGTGTGGACCATTTAAAATCATGGCTTTTACTTTAATATCCAATAAAGACTAAAGGGAGATGAAGGAGCAGAAAGCCAACCCTCAGAAAGAAAAACCTGTAACTAAGTTTTGTCTTGCTAAGCAGATGGCAAAGCAGACGGGGGGGGCAGGGACCACGCCCCGCACTTCACTACCTCAGGAACAGAACACCACGCCCCATGCAGAGGGCTTGGCACGTTGCTGAAGAACCACACTTACTGCTATGTTATTAAAGAAGTGATTTTGCTCGAGCATGATTGATTACTTATTCCGCACAAGGGGACACAGACCGTCTTCAGTTTATTCCAGCTCCATGTTGCAGGATGCAGCAAGCTGTCACTGACAGTGACTGCAGAGGGCATTTGGGGAAGATGAGTGGGTCTCACTACTTATTAAAAGATGGCCCATCTGCAACTCTCTTTTGGGGTATTTCAGTGTCAAACTTCCCGATGCTGCAGACATCAGCGTTTCTCTTGGTCATTCCGTATCTTAAGTTGTCTGGCTAATCAGGGAAAAGGTGGAGTGGGCACTAAATTCTGCCCAAACTGTGCGTTTTCCCCACCAAACGCAGGTTTGGCAGAGCAGTTAGCTGAGGATCCCCTATTCTCTAGATTCACATAGAGAATGTTTCCCATATTTGATTTGATTTTGTGAAATATAACAGAAAAATATTGTTATTTCACTGAAAAGTATGACACACTTCCCTTCAAGTCTAAACTAACCAAATTACAAATACAACTGAAATAACTACAATGTATAAGACAAAACAGATTTACAACAGTTTAACAGAAGTTTTGCATCAACAGAATTAATGCAACAAGCTCTACAAAACGGGGATTTTATAACCGTCTTTACAAATTGCGGGCCCAGACAGAACGGCTTAGAAAGTAAAATGAAAGTCATGTGCTCATATGTTTCCAGCAAAAACATAACCTTAGAAAAGCAAGACACGAAATGCTGATTGTTTTGGAGTCTGCACTCCCAATGGAAAATGCATGGCTTCTAAAGGGTGTCCAACTACCTGCTGACGACGGTCAGCGACACTCAGCACGGGGAGCCAACGCCTGCTCTGTTTACTCAGACAGACACATCAAATTCCTTGAAAAGCCATCAAAATAGCCAATATGCTTCTTACTGAATAATAATTCCTAATTAGAAAGTGTAACATTCAACAGATCAAATTCTGAGATAAAAGTAATTCCTCATAAGTACTCTTAAAGCTAAAAAATCTGGGTTTTAGTTGTACTGCCTTCCTATTTAGTGACTATCTGTCAATAGTTACAAGCGACTAACTGCAATCACTCTCCCTTCCCATCACATGCTCAACGGGACAGCAGACATTTCTCACGGCCAATGTCTGTCGCCCAGAAGGAAACAGTATGAAAATTACCATTTGCCCCCATAGTTCTCAGTGAGGATGGCGATCATTCTTTCCACGGATCCCAAGATGGCTCTATGGATAATCACTGGCCTTTTCTTATCATCTCCATCATGACTAGAAAGGAAAAAATAATTTGTTTTCCTTTATTTTATATGTACTAGTATATATATATACATACCTTTATTTTATATGTACGTATGTACAAACACACACACACACACGCCGTTCTATGTCCTTGAAGAATGTTCAGAACAGACACTAGGAACTCACCTCACAAACGTGAGATTGAATCTGATGGGCAACTGAAAATCCAGCTGGATGGTTGCACACTGGTGGTAGCGCCCAATGGCATCCTTAATCTGAATATCAATCTGAGAAGCAAAGACTGACTGTGAGGTGTTGTCCAGAGTGAAGCTGACTCGGTAGTTTTATGAGGGCTGATTTCCCCCTCCCTTTTTTTAACCTGAAGTAATCTCTTCACCCCCAAACGAATGTCACCTTACTCAGATCCACTTTGGCACTGACCTTTGGACCATAGAAAGCTCCATCGCCAGGGTTTAACTCCCACTTTTCACCAAATTCATTCAGGCTGTTTTCAAGTTGCTAAAGATAAAGCAACACTGACTTTAATCTTTGTTCCTCTGCAACCGGTCTAATTTGAGACTAAAAATTCCATAATGACTTTCATGGGTCACTATTCTCTGCTTCGTGACTTTGTCCACTTGAATATACTCAAACCCCAACCCCTTACAAGGTTACAGCTTGATGACTAAAACACATCCAAGCATTTCTACATCCAAAAGCAAAAGGAAAAAGCGAGCGTACTCTAACCCAGGAGCCATTTCTAATTTTCTTTCGCTTTTACCCATTTAGGAGGCTGGCTTTCTTACACGGCGGAGGAAGCCACTTGCAGCCACCCAGAATTCAAGCGCCTGACAAACACCACTTACCTTCTCAGCGTGATTCCAGACTTCAATATCGCCAAGGAATTTTTCCGGCCGAGTAGACAGGTTCAGTTTAAAAGAAAATCCAAATATGTTGTACACTGTACGCAGAAAATCCAAACAGCCTTTGATTTCTTCCTCGATCTTTAAATAAAAGAAAATGAGATGAACAAGAATAGATCCAGACACAAATGGCAGGGGAGGGTGGTTAGAGAGCAACCAAAGGACTTGTAAGCATGCATATCAGCATAACCAATGGACACAGACACTGGGGCGGTGGGGGCTTGCCTGGGGTGGGAATGGCCGGGGGCGGGGGTCAATTGGGGAAAAAGGAGACTTATGTAAAACTTTAGACAATAAAAATAAATTATAAAAAAGAACATGACACGGCGGTAATTTTCTGTGACCTCCTTGACCTTCCCTTCACCACATTTCACCCCCCCCGAGCCCCCACCTGCTCCATGGCACAGAATATGTGCGCGTCGTCCTGCTGGAACCGCCGCACCCGCGTGAGGCCCGTGAGCGCCCCCGACAGCTCATTCCTGTGCAGCACCCCAAAGTCGGCGAGCCGCAGAGGCAGCTCTCGCCAGGACCTCGGGCGATGATCGAACATGAGGCTGGCAAAGAGAAAAGGAAAAGCCGCTGACAGTTAATACAATAAACTGCTTCTCTGAGCATACACGAAAGGCTGTCAAAAAGCCACGGATTCCAAGTGGCTCAGACAAGCAGCGTCTCTCCAGTTCTGGGCTGCACACAGCGACGTGGGCACTGGCATGAATGTGACAGCAAATAATTGTAACACAAGCACCCGGAACTGAGGGAGAATGACACACGTATTCCCATAGTCGGCGGTCACATCCTTGTGCTCATTCCGTCAATTTGAGGACGGCCTTTAAGGCCCTATTTATTTATTTATTTATTTATTTTTTTAAAATATATTTTATTGATTTTTTACAGAGAGGAAGGGAGAGAGATAGAGAGTTAGAAACATCGATGAGAGAGAAACATCGACCAGCTGCCTCCTGCACATCTCCTACTGGGGATGTGCCTGCAACCCAGGTACATGCCCTTGACCGGAATCGAACTCGGGACCTTTCAGTCCGCAGGCCGACGCTCTATCCACTGAGCCAAACCGGTTTCGGCAAGGCCCTATTTAAAGATAAAACAGACTCAGCTGCTTACAAATCAGGTGTCACTCTGGAAACGGAAGTCCGTGCTTTCTTGTCCTTCCCAGAAGTGCTTCAGACACTCTGCAAAAGGAACTCGCTGGTCTCCTGGACCACAACCAGTTCCCATGGGCATGCCTCTCCCCCCTGCCCTCCAGGCACCGCTACGAGGAGCTGTGCGCACTGAGCTGCCTGGAGCCACAGTCTCCCTAGTTTCCCCCAAGCTGTTCATCCAACTTTCATGGATAGAAAGAGGAAGAGCCCCAAGGCAAAGATTTCCCAAGGATGTTAATTCACTAGCACTAGATTTTGATAGAACATGTTTCTTTAAAAGAAAAAAACAAAAAAACAAAAAAAACTATATTCTGCCCATTCACTGCTATTCTTCAATGTCTACAGAACTGAGGACCAAATCAGGCATAGAAGAAATTATAACACCATGCTAATGCTGCATTTAAATACTGTTCTGATCACATCATTTGTTTTTAAGAAAAATCCTTCCAAAGGAAGAAAAGCAATCTAGAATTAAATGAGACTCGAAGCTGCTGAATACCAGTGTCCCGGGCAGTTCATGGGCTTCAGCGCGAACTGCTCCTTCTCCACCTCGAAGGAGAACATGTTGTCGCTGTAGTGCTCCCAGTGGCCCGAGGTCATCCACAGCCGGCTGTTGAAGATGTTTGGGGTGACCACCTCCTGGAATCCTCGTTTCCTATATTCACTCTGTTAGAGAACAAAAACGCGTGTCTAGAAATTAGTGCTCGTACTTCTGGTGGGAGTAAGAATTTAAATTTCCTACCCTCTCGTGCAGTTTAAGATGCACATATGCTATGATCTAGAAATCCCACTTGGAGGTATACACCAGAGAGGAAACTCTTACACGCCCCCATAAGGAGGCTTGTCAAAATGACGCTACTGCAGCACAACAGTAACATGGGAAAATCAGAAATTACGTCCGTGCCCGCCGATAAAGGGACGGACATACTGCGGTAGTTCTATGATGGAGTCATATGTAACAAGTGACGGTAAGCGGGATCTGCATGTATCTTAAAAAAATCAATCTGACTGATACTCAATGAGCCTTCCTGTATGCAAATCTGAAGTACACAAACCACTGAGGACACGTATGGATGGGGTGGTGGACAACATGGACAGAACGGATCCACGCTGCCTTCCAGACCAGCTTCTTCTGGGACAGGCAGGAATGCTTCACAAAGCCCACAGGGGAGCTCGTGCCCCTCACTGTGTATTACTTTACTTCAAACAGAACCTAATGCAAATGTGTGTTAGATTAGGTGGTGAGTATACAGACGTTGGTGGTACTATTCTTTATAAACATACTAGTAGCCCTGCGCATGAATCCGTGCGCCAGTAGGTCGCTGTCACCCTCCTGTAGCTCTCCGCTTGTCCCCCTCCCCTCTCACCCCCCTCTCATAGCTGACCTACCCCCTCCTGTAGCTCCACAGCCCACTTGTACCTCGATGGCCCACCCTCCTGCTGATCCGTGATCTGGTCATGATGTGTTTGGTCGTTACGCCCTGAGGCGTATTAATTAGCATATTCCTCTATTATTCCTAATTAGCATATTCCTCTCTGATTACATAGGATGAGTTCAACACTTCATAATTTACAGACAAAAAGCAAGGTAAAGACTAACCTGCTTTTTCAAGGGAAATATAAATGGTCCAAGAGCACACAGCGCCCCTGTGCAAAGGGTGACAAGTCCTAGTTCCAGTGCGGTCACTGGCTTCTGTGTGCACATCCATGTTTATGGACATTATCACGCATTAGGAAAAAAAGTCCTTAAATTCATTCCATTAAATTTTTCTTTTAAAATACAAGATTATCTTTCCTTTCAGCAGACCCTGTTTAATAAAATCGACGCATGTCCTAAAGCTACAGAAGAGAATAAACGAGTAGGGTTTACCCTGAGGAACTCGATCAGTGCATTATAAATGTGTGCTCCCTTCGGCAGGAAGAAGCAGCTCCCAGGGCTGAGTTCATGGAAGAAATACAGTTCCTGGTCCTGTAACGAAGACAACAAAGAATGCTCACTGCTGTACACGTGACGTCACTGTTCCTGAGAATACAGTCCTGATGTCTCCTGCTTTCCTCTGGGCCTCTCCCAATGCAAAGAAAACATGCGCACATCTCGGACGTGTAATTTAATGGTATAGATTTGCGGTTAATTTACAACTTAGTTCCCTGCCTGTTACATTCCTGAATCCAGTCAAATGTACCAAAGATGACATGGAACAAGGGTCTAGTTCTCTTCTATCTAGAGAGAGCTCACATGGTTTTAATTCCTTAAAGCTCTAAGATATGGTTGTTTTAAATTTTTCTTTATTTATTTTTAAGTAGGAGTGGCAGTTAGGAGTCTGGGAAAAAGACACTGACAATGAAACAGAAAAGCTGGCTGATTCTGGGTCATGGTGAATGGCACCCCCTCCACCCCCAAGGCCCAAACTTTTCCGGGAGGTGCCGCACCAGTCCCTGCGGCTTCCTTACAGGTGGACGGACCTCAGGAAGTCAGGTGAGCGTGGCAATGGACGCTGCCTCCTGCTCAGGCTTCCTACCCCACCAACCAAGGACGCCTGGCACAGAGTGAACACAATTTCAGAAAGAAATGTTTTCACCTGACACCTAGCTTCCAGTTTGAAAACATTCAGGGCAGAGGGATAAAGGCAATGCACCTGGAATCCAGCACGGACTCGCTGCATCAGCTCGGGCAACAAGTATATGACTCTCTCTAGAACTCAGTTTCCACATCTTTACAAGAAGTCACAGGTGCTCTGGCCGGTTAGGCTCACTGGACAGAGGGTCAGCCTGTGGACTGAAGGGTCCCCGGTTCGATTCCGGTCAAGGGCACAGGCCTGGGTTGTGGGCTCAATCCCCAGTAGGGGGCGTGCAGGAGGCAGCCGATCAACGATTCTCTCACTCTCTCTCTCTCTCTCTCTCTCCCCCTCTCCCTTCCTCTCTGAAGTCAATAAAATAGTTTTTAAATAAATAAGTCAGTAAGACCAGGTGAATTTCCAAAGTATCTCTCAGCTTATGAGGCACTGCTATGCTTCTTTTACTGAAAACTGTGGGTCATCAGCATTTGTCCTCAATAAAAGGAACAGTTACAATGAATTTTTGTGCAGTACTGAGCACACTCTAGAAAGATAATGTGGACAATCAGGAAGTTACTTATGGCTTATACAGGACACAGTACAGTAATACTTGAAAGCTATAACATTTCTTCCAAGGGAAATCCTTAATACAGTTAAATACCTAACACAGCTGAATTTCAAATGAAAATAAACGCAGTCTAGACACATTATTGTTCTTTTTTAACATACCCTCCCAATTTTCCTATGATCTCGGTTTTTGGCTTCCTCTTGGAACTTCTCCCACTCTTTCAACAACTTAGGGTCTGGGAACGAAATGCCATAAATCCTCTGCAGAGTCTCCATATCTGCTTTCCCCTCCCAGTATGTGGAGGAATTCTGAAAACAAGGATCAACCGTGAAACAATATTCAAATTTGTCAATATCTCACTTATTTTAAGAGTTAGATGTTAGTTCCCATAGGCACCTTATGAATCAAATTCATAGTAGTCCTTATACAAGAAAAGTCACAAAAAGTTCACACCTAGTGAGACATCCCACAGGGGCCCTGGGGCAGAGCTAAACAGCTGGGTTCACCCGGCAGCACAGAGCTGGCTGTTGGGTTCCCTCAGAAAACCCACCCGCCACGCCCCTCAAACCACAGCTCCACGGACATGACTGACTGCAAGGGCATCTTCTAAAGCATGAGTAAGCAAAAATGGAAAATAAGGCAACAAAAAAAATCTTGAAATGACTCAACTATGCTTACGATTTACAGTGCATTTTAATCATCGCCCATAAAGTGTTTCTGAACTAGTAGAGACTGGCAGGACTAGCTAGGTTAGCAAAAACCACTTGGGTAATTACTACCTTAGACACACAAAGAGCAAAAGCACATGCTCCTGCCGTGAGCCTGGAAGCTCCATGATGGCCCATAACTGCGTGATTTTGTGAATCCCCCAACTCCACCCCCATGTGCTCTGGTGGTGGGTGGCTGGTCAGCCACCGCTTCAGAGAATTTCTGCTAAAAATGCCTAATGACTTATAGTAGCACAGGCAGGAGAGAGCATGAGAAAAAATCCGCCCAAAAGCAAATAGGTAGGAAGAGAAATCAATGGAAGTTTAAATATCTAGCCATCCAACACAAATACATTTACATGGAGAGCCTCTTGGGCGGTACTGCTTACTTTGTGTATTTTCAAAGTCTTAATTTTGCCAGTGTGTCGGACATGAGGACCCCGGCAGAGATCTATCAAGGGGCCACACCTAAAGGTAAAATGAAAGGAATTTTAATAAAGGCTTACAATGACATGTACACAATTGTATTTCATGACATCTGACAGTCTCACCTATAGACGGTGGTAGTTGGAGTATTCACTTTTTCATTCAATATCCGACATTTGAACTTGTTGTACTGAAAATAGCAAAAATTATATTTTTAAAACTATCCTTTTTTTACCTCTAAATACTACAGCTAACATAGAACTCGAAATACATCTTATCAAAGCACTGCACACTTATAAATATGTTCATGTTTCAAATTTTGAAAACATAGTTAAATTTTCTAAGGAACAGAGTAGGTTTCAACTTAGTACACTAAACCCAAGAGTAATGACTTCAAATAACACTAATGAGTGATAGAAGAGTAGGTGCCACATGTTACGGTTGATGTACCTTAAACATTTCCAGTAAAGTTTCCTTCTTAACTTCCAACCTTTCAAAAGCTTGTTTTTCCTTAATGATTTTCTTACATAAAGTCTCTAAAGATGAGAAATCATTGCTGGACACACCCCTGGAACAGAAGAAAGTATAAAATTATTTCCATTCCATTCTACTCACACCACGGAGGGGTGAGGGGGATGTTTCTTTTGAACACTTCAAGGGATTTAATATAAAAAATTAGACTCTTGCATCATGTATCAGAATTGTAAACGAAACATTCTGCATAAATTATTTTAATAACTGATATTTCCATTGGCTCCTGCCTTGGTCATCCTGGAGACTGTCCCCACTAGTGACTCCCCCCTCCACTCTAAAGCAGGTTAAAGGAGAGAGGACCGGCTTCAGTTATTTCCCAGGGTACCTTAGGCCCTGCCTCCATTGACCTAGAACAAAGCTCTCACAAAAGTCTCTACACCTCTGTAAGTTACTACACACTTTAAGTTTTTAAAAAAATTTTTTTATTGATTTTTTACAGAGAGGAAAGGAGAGGGATAGAGAGTTAGAAACATTGATGAGAGAGAAACATCGATCAGCTGCCTCCTGCACACCCCCTACTGGGGATGTGCCGGATACCAAGGTACATGCCCTTGACTGGAATCGAACCTGGGACCCGTCAGTCCGCAGGCCGACGCTCTATCCACTGAGCCAAACCGGTCAGGGCCACACTTCAAGTTTTAACAGTGGGAATGCTTGGTGACCATGAAGGAACAAGCATCATATTACTCCTCCTTTACTGAGAACAATTTAAAAATAATGTATAGACTCATGGTAATTCAGATTTCATTTCTCTTTATCCAATGACATACTTACCCTTCCTCAAGGTACATGTCATAATAGAACCCACTTTCTATTGGTGGACCATAACATAAACATCCTCCGTAGACTCTTTCCATGGCTTCACCCATTATATGGGCACTTGAGTGCCAATATACCTGAAAATTCAAAGAAAAATGAGAAGGTCTGAGACTGGGCATATGTGTTATAAGTTAATATGGTCATCTGAAAGAGATATATAGAATTTATTATAAATAAACCCAGAAAGAAAAATCTAAATTTACAAATCTATAAACTGCAGTGTGATTCTATACAGAGCCAAAATAATTTAAAAGGATGCTAATTGCTAAAGTATATTTCTACCTGAGAAATTACCTAGTTTGTTTCCAAACTAATTAAATTCAAATTAGCCTCATTAATTACATGGGTGGATTTTGTTCCCTGGAAACAATTGCCACTCACCATGTGACTGCCTTCTGGACTGCAAGGGCCCAGGCCTTCTGAGGCAGTGTGCCCACCCAACCACGTGCGTTTACTTGGCTGTGGAGCATCACTTAGAATTTTATCTGCCTTTTTCTTATTGGCCCCAAACAACTAGGGTGGTACAACTGGATCCCACAATACCACTAGAGAGTACAAGGACAAACAGTGAACACTAAAAGCTAATGGCAGTACTGGGCTTTAAGGTGGCCATTCAGATGAGTCAGAATGTGTCCAAATCAACGTTTTTAAGATTTAACAGTAAGGTACCCAAATGATTTTTAAAATTCTCTTTAAAAGTTTAAGGAATCCAGAATACTTTTGAAAACTATTGATTCACCTACATAAGTAAACCATCATCAATGAAACAAACGAAAACAACACATTTTATTTCCCTTTATATGTATACCATCATGAAGAAATAAGGAGAAAAACCTTTCCATCATATGCAAGTTGGTTTTATCGTACATTCAGCAGATTTGCACTTAAAGATGAGGAAAAAATGGAAATCAACTTCCCAATGTAAGTACTTTAGGTAATGTTCCAATTTATTTGTTAAATATGTACATACATCTTGCTTAAGTGTTGATTGACAGTGTAGAAAGCAAGTTTTACTTGCTTAATCAATTTCTAATAAAATTTTAATAGAATTTCCATAAATATGCCCTCATTTTATTATCTAGTAGTGAAAATAAATTTATTCAATTTCACCTCTTGATTTCATAAAGCAAGCACTTTTATTATATTCCCTTAGTGAAAGACAAAAATGAAGACTTCGAATATGATGAGACATCAATAAATTTTCGTCACCTCCTGGCAGTGGTAATGAGCTGGAAAACAATGCAAATGAGAATCACCATCCTGAAATGTAATGAACACGGAGTAAAAACTTACTGCCTGAGCTTCCTCATCCTCGAACTTGAGAAGCTCCAAGGTACAATCTTCCTCCAGAGGACGGTCTAGGTCCCAGACAGCTTTATTCACTTTCGCAATAACAGTGTTGTCAGCCAGGCCTTGACTTAACAAGAACAGGAAAATAAACACTATATAATATACATACACATCTATATATATAAAAGCCTAAGCGACCGACCGACCATTTGACTGGTAGCTATGATATGCACTGACCACCAGGGGGCAGACGCTGGACGTACAGGCATGGAAACATGGAACAGACTGATGAATCTCCTGTGGGGATTGGGCCGAAACTGGCAGTCCGACATCCACCGAGGGGTCCCGGATTGCGAGAGGGTGCAGGCCTGGCCGAGGGACCCTACTGGTGCACGAATCTGTGCACCAAGCCTCTAGTATACTATACTACTACTAGTGGCCTGGTGCATGAAATTTGAGCGGGCCGAAGCCAGCAGTCGGACATCCTTAGCACCACCACCACTGCACTCGCCAGCTATGAGCCCAGCTTTTGGCTGAGCAGTGCTCCGCCTGTGGGAGCACACTCACCACCAGGGGGCAGCTCCTGTGTTGAGCATCTACCCCCTGGTGGTCAGTGCGCATCATAGCGACCGGTCATTCCACTGTTAGGTCGATTTGCATATTAGCCTTTTATTAAATAGGAGGATATGTACTATATTATACTATTCTATACTATACCACTATATAAAATACATATATATATATCTTTCTGAAATAAAATGGAAAAAGCAACAAACTCCAAAAATGTGCCAATGTACCTAAAAATTAACTACAAGATCCTGAAAATTCAGAACACTTTTATGACATTTAATACTTATTTAAACAGACATAGCCACTCTAATAAACAAACAATGAAACTTTTCAGTAGTCTAGTTTCTTTTTTACTTTCTCCAAAGAAGTTCTCCACAAAGCCAAGCTACTTAGATTCCAACAGCAAAAGGGGCCGGGGGTACTAAATAACTTCTCTGCTCTACCTACTGTTTGAAATCTGTAACGGAATTTCTTGAGAGTCAATGCTAAATAACCTCACATGGACCATACTGGATCATTTCAATTTTCCAAAGAAGAAACAAAATAATCCATACTTCAAGACTGAGAACAAAACAAAACTTCAAAGAAAACCCTTTTGAAGCAAATGGAGCATGCCTTCTTTTTGCTTCCCTTTCATATTCATTCCTAATCATCAGAACCTTTAAACAGCCTGTTACTGGTGCTATAATTTTTCACAGAACAAGAAGTTAGTCTGGACTTGTGGAAAAATGTCTTCAAGCATCCTCACTTGCAGAGCATGACTGAACCCTAGCTCTAAAGTTCATCAAGGTCTCATGTGACTCAATGTAAAATTTGGCAATTCTCAAAAAACTATTTTACGATGGAGGAGGATATTGTAGAATGTAGAGAAAAAGTGCCTGGACTGATAGGAGCCTGAATTTTAATACCCATTGCTACAATATCAGTGTGCAACAATGGAGAAACTGCATCACCAAATGACCTTCAAAATCACCTCTAAAATGACAGATTGCACTGATATTTAAAGGTCTATCCAATTATTTATAATCTCACATGGAAATTGACCCAACTATTGAGTCCCAAATCATATCAGATTAAGAAACCACTACTCTATTACAGAGTATGCATCTGATTCTTTTACCTCTTCCCAACCCGATAAAAGTGTTCAGTTTTAAGACCAGGCATGGCCCTCCTTTAGATTTATAAAATTAGTACATTTTCTCATGTTAAATAATAGTTTCCTAACTTTCCCCTGTGAGATGATCAACCTTCATTTAAGTTTAAAACCGAGACATTGAAATCAAAATAGATTGTGAAACCTTATCTACTTGATTTTTGTGACATGTTTGATCAAGGTAGAAGAACTAATCATATAAAATCCTTCATAAGATAAAACCAAACTAGAGCCTCTAAGAAATTAACTTTGAACCTTGACTATAAAGCTCTACATCCTCTAGATTTTGGAAAAATCCCAAATAATGTGAATTAAACATTAAAAATATGGAACAGTAACATAAAGATGTTTTGAGGATAAAACCTGGCAAAATACGTTTAAGTTTAATTACAAACAGCAGAAGATGAGGACAGGTGCGGCCGGTACCTGATGCCACACGCGATCTGGTAAGGCGTGGTTTTCCAGGACTCCGCGGCCACCTGCTTACCATCCGGCAGAGTGACTGTGATGGGCTTGCTCTCTTTTGCTGCTTTTTCTGCCAGGATGGCGTCGTGTTCTGCTTTTAGTTTATTGTACATCTCAAGACGTGTGTTAATATATTCAGGCCAAGGATTCAACTGCAAGACAACAAAGGAAGAGGATATTGTAGAATGTAGAGAAAAAGTGCCTGGACTGATAGGAGTCTGAATTTTAATACCCATTGCTACAATATCAGTGTGCAACAATGGAGAAATTGCATCACCAAATGACCTTCAAAATCAACTCTAAAATAACAGATTGCATTGATATTTAAATAATCAGTAAGGGCTTGCTTTCCTTTTCAGAAAAGGCCGCGCCTTTAGTCGGAGCATGGGAAACGGAAGCATACGCCCTCTACTTGACAGGCAGTTTGTCTGGCTCAAAACCAAAACCACGGGCCGGTCCAGGTGGAAAGAGTGGGAAGGTGGGCTTTCTTGGTTTCTATTGCACTCAGGAGAAGCTCGGACACCGAGTCTCTCCCCTTCAACATCTGGTTTTCATATCTCATCCCACAGATTGCTTTACAATTACATTTCAGTTGCTTTCCTTTTTCAATAACAAATAGCTGCAAGTCCTTCTTCCCCTCCCACGCTTTCCTAATTCTTCTCCCTGAAATTTCCATCGAGTCGGCCTGCCAGTCCCATGTAAGCCCTGAGGATCTGACACAGGACACGTCTGAGACAGCGCTCTGCCACCTGTCAAACCTGATGACAGCCCTGAACACCTACCTCCGCTCGCCCTCCATCTCCAGACCCTTCTTTGTTCTTCTTCTTGCCGTCTTCCTTGTGCCTCTCCTGGCCGGCACCCACCTAGAGGAGCAAAAAGAAAAGAAGGTTTCATATTTCAATCTACAACGACACCCCTTCATGCTGCCCCCAGAAGAGTTTAGAGGATGCTATGTTAGCATCTGTTTTTTAAAGAGTGAAAGTCTGATTTTGAAAGACTAGAAAATCCGAGCACTATCAACCACTATAAAAGGGAAGTTAGCAACTTAAATGAAGACAAGTCCTAAAAGGCAGAGATAATGTCCAAGTCCTCACATTTTATGTATTTTGCCTGTTCCCATGACTCTGGCTGCAGGTTTGCCTGGACATATACTAAACATGTAGCCACAAACAAGCATGAGATCTATTCAGTAACATTTTCAGGGGGGAAATCCGTGCGATATGTATCCATTCATTCCACACGTACTAAGAGCCTCTGTGCTCATGGTAGTCTCTTAAACCCTGCGGAAGATGCAAAACTAAGACCCAATCCCTGCCATGTGCAAATGTAATCTCTCCAGGGAAACGAAGGCATGCATGTGTGAAAAACCCCATGAGGGGGGAGAAAACACAGTTGCAACACCGTGATTCGATGTAGAATAAGCTAGGACGACAGGCCGGATCTCGAGAACGGAGGTCATGTGTTCTAGGTGTTCACACACTCATTGTCGGAAATATTAAAAAGAGACAGTGACAGAACGACAGAGTGAGAGGGGCAGACAGACTAAGGCTGACTAAGGCAGGATTGTTTTAGGAAATAATATAAGACAAACTAGGGCTCAGACAGAGCAAACCCTAAAAGTTACCCAAAGGAATGTGGGCTTCAATTAGAAGCACACGGAGTCACAGAAAGTTTGATAGGAAGTCCTGTGCAAAGAGGCAGCCAGCAGCAGAGCAGGTCTACACCAGTGGCTCTCAACCAGAAACCATGTGCGCCCCAGCGGACATCTGACAATGTCTGCAGGCGTTTTTGGTTGTCATGACTTGGGGGTGCAATTGTCATCTAGGAGGTAGAGGCCAGGGGTGTTGCCAAGCATCCAACGATGCACAGACACCAACAAAGAAGTATCCAGTCCACACAATGTCAACAGTGTTGAGGTCGAGAAAGCCTGAACGACAGGATGGGGTACGGTGAGAGGATTTTCTCAGAAATGCATCACTTACATCACTCAGAAACACCCTAAGGCAAACGGCACTACCCAGAATGTCACCATGTACACAGTTCTTCCACAATCACATCTGATTTTCACGGCCACCCTGTGAGACGGCTATTATTGTTATTATTATTCCCATTTTACAGATAAATTAATTGGAAAAGTTAGACAATTCTTCTAGGTTCACACAAACCTATGAGTGGCAGGAAAGATATGTATCCAGGTGTTGACAGTGGCCAACTCTAAGGAGTTGCGATCATCAGTGGTGAGGAAGTTTTGCGGGTAGAGCTAGGGATGTGAAGGGGACTCTTATAATTTTGTATGCTTATGACCTTCAGGGGATAACTGTGCTTTTTGAGATACTTTCCTATCACTCACCAACATAAAGCATACAATTCAATGGTTTTTAGTGTGTTCACAGTTGTGCAGCTACCGCCACAATCAACTTAGAACATTCTCATCACCCCAGAAGAAATCCTCACCCATCAGTAGTTACTCTCTGTCCCTACCGCATCCCCCTTCCCCACCTGACAACCACGAACCTGCGCTGTCTCTATAGTTTTCCACATTCTAAACATTTCAGAATATGTGGTCTTTTGAGACTGGTTTGTTTCATTTAGCATAATGGTTTCAAGGCCATCCAAGTTTCGCTTCAATACTTCCTTCCTTTTTATTGTCAAGTAACATTCCATTCACGGAGAACTTATCTGGAGAAAATAAACATTCCACATTCCGTTTCGGTACTTCCTTCCTTTCATTGTTCACTTATCCATTTAACAGCTGGGCATTTTGGCTGCTCTCTCTCATCTTATTTTGAGGACCGAATGAGTTCATGCATGTAATCAGTGCCAGACCCCATAGTTGGTACTCAATCAACATTAGCAATTATTACAGAAGGGAGAAATCATACATTGACTAGCCAGGCCTCCAATTAAGAATGGCACAGCAGAATATTTATGGGCACGGAACACTGGACTACAGACTATTAATTAAAAAGTAAAGATATCATTTTAAGTGAAAACAATATAGATGGGAAAAGGTGTATGAACAGACACCATTTACTACTTTTAATTTAATTTACATCGTTTAGAATGCGCGCACATGCATTTTCCCCAACCAAACCCTGAGTTAGGGACGTCCTCGTGTTACTCATGAGAAAATTGTGGCTTTGAAGCTGGGTTGCGTCTCCTTTAGCTCAACGCCTCACCTCGCACGTGGACCAGTGCAGCCGCCCCCTGTGTGTGGTCTCACCTCTTCCCCACGCACCTCCCACCCCAATGCCAGCGTGATCTTCAAGAATACAGTTCACCTGTCACTTCCCTGCTTAGAAACCTTCACTTGCAGGAAACCATTCCAACCATCCGCTGCCTAAGATCCCTCCGACGGCTGCGGCTCCTCCTTCAGCATCTCTCTTGTAAGCAAAGCAACCCCACACACCATTCATTCATTCATTCATTCATTCAGCCGCCTTTTCACTGCCTTCCCTGCCTTTCCCTGGAAAGCCCTGCCCTATCTGGCTGACCTGGGGAACTTACACTCATTCTTCACACTCAATTCGAGAGCCTCCCCACGCAGAACCTGGCACCCGCTTCTGGAACCCCTCAGCAGAACGGCTGTGTCCCTGTCTTTCGCACCCCAGGCTGGGTCCTATTCCCCTGCCTGGGTGTGTGGCCCGGCATGCAGAATAAATACTTCTCGTTTATTTGTTAATCGTAAAAAATAAATAAATACTAAACACACACACACACACACACACACACACACACACACCACCTCGACCCGGTGGCATGCAAGTGACCCGGGAGGCAGATGTTCCTAAGCAAGGGATGACACAAAGGTAAAGTTCAAAGGTGAGACGATCAGGGGTGTGAATGAGATAAGGTCGCCTGCGGCCCCGGCAGGGGAAGCCTGACACTTGTCCAGGGAGTCAGGTCATCGGCCTCCACCATTGATCACCCACCCAGGCGGGTCAGACCTCGGGAACCCGGTTTCTCTTCCTTAACCCAGAGGATTCTGCTCTGAATGGGGTCTCAGGGCTCAAGGAGGCTCTGCAATGCTACTCTCGCCGCAGGTGAAGGGAAATCACCAGGCCGGGGGCCCGGAACTGTCTCGATTTCCAGTCAGATGTGCGGTTCTGAGCCGCTCGCTCCAGCTCCCAGTTCCCTCACCTGCCGAGAGGATGGAGCGGAGGAGCCCTGCAAGCCCGCCAGCTTAATGAATGGACGATTCCGCCCCTAACGGGGCCCTGGCTTATCCGCCGCCCCCCTCGGTCCCTCCGTCCCACACGCCCGGCCGCTGCCTCCTCCGCCCCCACTCCCTGGGGGGCCGCTGGGCACCGAGAAGAGCCCCCGCCCGGGCTCCCGACCCCACTCACCGGCTTCTCCTCGCCTTCCATCTTCCCTGAAGGGCTGCTGGCCTTCTCCTCGGACATCGGCGAACCAGGAAGAGAGGACGGAACTCAAAAGCGACGGCCGGGGCCAGAGGAGCGGGAGGCGGCCTGAAGGGCGCTGCGGCTCCCGGGATCACGGCGCCACAGCCACTAGCCTGGAAGGACCCGCTGATGCAATCCACCAGCGCCCAAGCCCCGCCTCCTAGCGGGCAGCCAATCAGCAAGGGGGAGAGGCGGGATCTCCCAACTCTAAACCAATGGGAAAGCTTGTTGGGGCGGGCCTAGGAAATCAGTGCGGCGTGGGAAGAGGAGAGGGACCCGTACGCCCCCCTCCCCAGCTCCGACTGCACCCTTTCCGGAGCCGAGGCCGCAGTGCGCGTGCGCCTCCTCCCAGAGCGCTGCGGCCCATTAATCCAGGGCCTTCCCGGCCACCGTAGCGAAGGAGCGAGTCTTCCGGGAAGTCCCCAGCGCACCACCTCCGGGGTCATCCTTCCACAAAGAACAGCGGCCTCCAGCCCGGCTCAACGTCTTCATTCATTCATTCATTCGTTCCTCACGTGGCACGTAGGTAGGATAGTCTCATCCACACAAAGGGAATCGCGGAACCTCTTGCTTAAAACTCTCCCGTGACTCGTAGCTGCTCTTGGCATAAAAGTGGTCATGGCTTTGAAGGCCCCCGGCGGCCCAACTTTCTCCACCCCCCGCGGTATACGGAACTCTGGCCACAGTGACCTTGTATTTCCCCAGGTCCCCCCACAAATGTTCGGGTGCGCGCTGAGATTGGCCTCCCCACCCTCACCTCTGCCTACCCCCCCCCACCCCCCGCACACTTTTTGCCTGTTTAGCATCTATTTATTTGTCAGATCTCAGGAATAGTTTTCTTTGGAGAACCATTTCCTGGCCACCCGCACTGCATGGAGCAAGTCTCCCTGTTGTATCTGCTGGTAGCTTCCTGTAATTCTGGTAGCACCAATCAGGTCAATTTTACAATTTAAAAAAATCATCTTATTGTGTCTTAGGTGGAAAACGTCACAAAAGCACAATTTGCATATTTTTATCCGCATCTAGCGAATGTAAGCATGGCACACAGTTGATGTTCAATAAATGTTAAGGGAATTCACGGGTATTGAGGAGTATTATGTTAAGTGAGATAAGCCAGTCAGAGAAAGACAAGTACCATCTGATTTCACTTATATGTGGGATCTAATGAACACAGTAAACTAACAAACAAAATAGAAGCAGACTCAGGCTGCTTTGTTCGTAATAAAGCAGGTCCCACCTAAAAAAAAAAAAAATAGAAGCAGACTCATAGATACAGAAGAAAGACTGACAGCTGTCAGAAGGGAGGGAGTTAGGGGGCGGGATAAAAAAAAAGGTCAAGGGATTAAGCAAAAAACAAACAAACAAACAAAAACACCAGCTATGGCTGGTATGGCTCAGATGGTTGAGCATATCCCATACCCGAAAGGTTGCCAGTTGGATTCCCAGTCAGGGCACATGCCTTATGCGCTGGGTTCAGTCCCCTGTTGGGGTGCCTATGGGAGATACCCAATCAATGTTTCTCTCACATCAATGATCTCTCTCTCTCTTCCTTCCTCTCTGTCTAAAAAACAAACAAAAACCAAAAATTCATAGTTACAGAGAGGTAGAAGAGGATAACGGGAGGATAAATGGAGATAGAAGACTTGACCAGGAATGGTAAACAATACAATATACAGCTGATGTATTATAGAATTGTACACCTGAAATCTATATATTCACCCCAATAAATTCGACTAAAATTACTTAAAAAGAAAAATTACCTCTTAGTTTGTATTTGTGAAAAAGAACCCCAAAACCCCTATACTAATTAGATTTAGAAGGAGGTTAATGTTAAGAGTAGATTATTGGTGGTACTTGGTGGGTATTCTCCTTAAAATTTCTAGGACATACATAAAATTTTAGTAGAGTTAAGTTGACGATTCTAACTAGAATTGCCAGAATCATTAGAATGATAATCAATAGGATCTAATCTCACCTTCTAATAGAAAACAATTTAATTATGCTCTTTAGACATGTCTGCCTGAGTTGTATATTAATTTTAAATGGGGATAATGAAGACCAGAAAGATTGAGATTACTGAATTTGCTAGAGGCTGAACAGTACAGGCTAACAATTACGGATTGTTCTTACTGCCGTGCAACTTGGTCGCTAGCAGCTTCTCTTAACCTCTCGTTCTCTTTCAACCTAGGAACCGGTCCTGGCCTAAGAACTGCCAAAAGGAAAAGCAGAAGGCTTTTCTGAAAGGTTGCATGTGATGCAAAAATGTAGAAGCTGTAAAAAAAAAGCAGTTGCTGGTCTCCCAATGGCACAGCGCCCTCTGGTGTTAGGAAGGGGTCTTCCATCACATGCACATTTAGGCCTACAGATCTCAGGTCCAGAGAACAACGGGTTATTAAGCAACCTTATATAATAAAAGGTTAATATGCAAATCGACTGAACAGTGAAACAACCGGTCACTATGACATGCACTGACCACCAGGGGGCACACACTCAATGCAGGAGCTGCCCCCTGGTGGTCAGTGCGCTCCCACAGGGGGAGCACCACTCAGCCAGAAGCTCAAGGCTGGCGAGCACAGTGGCAGTGGTGGGAGCCTCTCCTGCCTCCATGGCAGTCGGACATCCCCTGAGGACTCCCAGACTGTGAGAGGGTGCAGGCTGGGCTGAGGGACCCCCCTACCCCCTGAGTGCACAAATTTCGTGCACCAGGCCACTAGTTTTTATATATTTACTTCCACCACCACCAACAGGTTGTGCACCCATGAAGCCGGGCTTGGTGCTATGATGACTAACCTAGCCCTCGTGACCAGAGGGAAGTGTGGACTGTAGCAGCTGTTTCATGTCACTTCTCTCCTTTCTTTTACCTTCTCCCAACTTTTCCTTCTATCACATATGAAGGACATCCAGAGTGGCTAACTTTGGGTTTTCACGAGGGAATGTGTTTGAATCAACATGAATCCCGGATGACACACACTCTTAAGGGACTTCATGTGTCCCTGGTGCTGGGGATAGAAATTTTTCATGTGGATGGAAGATTAGAGAGAATGTTGAGGGGGAAAGGTATAGCCTGTATCAATGGACTCCTGTGCCTTTGGCTTCCAGTTCCTTCCAGCCAATGGGACCTTTAACAAGAGATGGGAGGGCAGAGAACAAAATCAGGGTATTCATTCCCGTGGCTCTTCCCTGGGAGGAGGCTGCCTTGGACTGTTAATGTTTTACTACCAAAGGTCACTGCCCGTCTCATGGCAATCCTCTACACAACTCCTCCTCCTAGGTCACAGCAAACTCACTCTCCTCAGCCTCCTGGCCTGGGAGTGGTTACAGATTTCCCACTATTATTGGCCCCAGGTTTCTGACCCTCTAACCTTCCCCATCCTTTTATAACCCCTTGTAAATAAATTCTGTAAATGACTCTAATTTGAGTTTGCCCTCTGTTTCCTGTTGGGCCCTTGTGTGATATATTCGTGTTTCGCAGCTATAAAATGGGGATAAGACTAACCCATGATTCTGGAACTTGTTGGGAGAATAAAATGAAAGTAGATGTATGAAAAGTACTTCATGAACTCCAAAGGCTGTAAATGTTAATTATGTTTGAGGAATGAATGTTCTGGCTAATTACCCTCTCAGGTTCATTAGAAATTATCCTGAAGAGTTTCCAGGAATTAACTTCACTGTTGTGTGTTCTCTCTCTCTCTCTCTCTCTCTCTCTCTCTCTCTCTCTCTTTGCTGAGAACCTTAAATGGTTTTTCATTGACAAGAGCAAAGATGGTCTTTATCCTAGCATTCAAGGACCTTCACAGCTTACACTCTAATCACTTTCCCGTTCATCTTCCTTCTCTGTCCTCATCAATCCCAAACAAATGGTTGAATCCCAGGAGAGTTGACACTATTTTTCTGTGTCCTGATCTTTGCTCGTTGGTCATGCACTTACCCCCTCAGATTCATCTAAACCTTGCCATCTCTCCATGCCCAGCATGAAACCTCAGCAAATTCACAGTTGCTATTCGTATCTGGATCACATATTGGGTATACAACTCTCTTGGAAATTAATGAAATGTCGGAGACTTTAATGTGCCTCATAGCAGTTACGAGCCACATTTTCAGAGTTGCTCACCTCACCCTCTTTCTGTGCAGGCCCGTAGGACTCAGCCTACTTCCCTCTCTTCTTAAGATGCCAGGAGCCACGTTCTTTCCAGAGATTTTTCTCCTTCCCGGATGGATTGTGAGATGGGACTCGTCTCACCCACTCTCTTCTAGCTTGACCCTGAACTGAAGTCTATAGTGTTTCTTATTTTAAACATTCGCATTTGCCTGTGTAGAAAGGAGCGAATAAGGGAAATGACAGCAAGTAAATGAGAGGCTTGATGCATTTTGCCATATTCTAATGCTCTCTATCCTCTGTCTATATGTCTGGGTCCTTTCCTGCTCTGAGGTGTGTTTCTTTTATCTCAACATGGAGCTCAAGAAGCACCAGTTGTTCAGTCTCTCACCAATCAGGGGCCTCTGACTGCAAATGGTCATTTACATCTCAGGAGGCCCCTGTGTAGCTGCCTCTCATTTAAACATCTGTGTTCCAGGTGGAAGTCTTATCTTAAGAAGAACTGCTACTTTTGAGCAACTCATTTAATCCTCATAGTTATTCTGCAGGGTACCTCAATCCTTGAGGAAACAGGCTTAGTGTGGGTTAGTTAAAGGTATACAGTTAGCAAAAGCAAGTCTATTTACCTCCAAAATTTGTGTTTTTTTCTATTCTTCCAACTGCATTACCCACAGTAGGTTATTTCCTGCAGCCACAGACCATCACATGAAAGCATAGGAAGGCACTCCTGTTGTTGTTTGGATCTTAATGTCTGTATCTTTTATAAATTTTAATTTTAATATTTAAGAATATTATCTTCATGTTAGTTATAAAGCTAACTAAAGACTGAACATTGTTTTCTATGTCACGATATTAGCCATTGCACCGTTACCGGAGGTCAATGACACGCATGTGTTTAGCTTACATGTATCAGTTAACTGTTCCTAAAAGGCTCTCAAGTTAAATAGGTTATCTTAATTATTTTCCTTTCTTATGTATAGGGTAATTGGAATCCCAATTCTAATTCTTCTTTG